CGCTCCAAGATCCCTCCCAATTTTCATAATAATAGGGTAGATAAATAAGTTATTATATCAGTAAGTCTACTTCAGGTTGCTCTAATTTTTGTTTCTTTATTGAACGTCTTGTTTGGAAAATTGTGGGAAAATATAAAATTGGATTTTATACATTTATTTTCATGTTCATATTTTCTGTCTTGTCTTGAATCCATATCCATCCATCCATCCATCCATCCACTCACTCACTCACTCACTCACTCACTCACTCACTCACTCACTCACTCACTCACTCACTCACTCACTCACTCACTCACTCACTCACTCACTCACTCACTCACTCACTCACTCACTCACTCACTCACTCACTCACTCACTCATTTTGTGGCATTTGTAATTTCCATATTTGAATCCTATATGAATCCTCTGATGAACATGACATCATTCTGTTTCAGCACATACAGATCTTTTGAGTCTTAAAACAATTCACCCACTCATCTAGTTTTTTTTTTTCAATCTTGTACTTATAAGCTCACAAGCAACAAAAAAAAGTGACAAATGAAGACCCAAGCCATGAAGCAGACGCACACACAACGTTCTCCTATTGCAAGGGGGAAAAAAAACATTTATGTGTGACTCAGCGTGACAGGTCGCATGCTAAAACCTTGGTAATATCTCTGTGGCAGAAAAACAGGCCTTTGTCACCTGAAGGGTAGCCTCATTTTTCATTCAAAGGGACTTATTCACAGACACTGATTGGCCTAACACCCCCTGTGATCGCAGTTCTGGTGTGTGTGTGGAAGAGGAGGTGGAGGGGGGTTGGACAGCAGTGATGTGGAGTGATGGAGAGACTGACAGCCGCTTGAGTGATTAATGAGCCTTTTTGGCGGTGCACTATTGTGAGGAAAGTCTGTGTGGACAATCTGAAGGGGGAGGAAAGAAAATAGAGGATGAGCACATTACAAAAAACAAACATGAAAAGACTTCTTCAGGGGGGGAAAAAAAGCTAGAAACAAGTGCAGATTGGCAGCCAATTTTGTCCAAATATAGATAGACCAAAAAAAAGGGTTGCAGGGAAGATTAGGACTGAATGACAGATGGGTTGGACGAGTCATCCACCAAGAAAAGAGAGGGTTGGGCTTAGAAAGGCTTCTGACAGAGATTGAAAACAAGATGTGACAGCTTGGCTTTTTCTGTTTGTATGTGCGTCTTTTTGTCCGTTGATCTGTGTATAACAATCTCAGCTGTCTGTCTTTCATCCCATCACATTTACAGTAAGTGCAGGACGGGAGGACATCGCTGTGTTGTTTCGCCTAACAGACTGCATCTTATCTCAGTTATGCTGACCAGCAAGTGCTGATGATGAGGCATTGTTGACTTCTCAAATATGCGTTTAATCTTGATGAACTGTTGGTGACTAACTGTTGACGATGAGAAGAAAAAGCACGGCTTTGTTTTAAGTAAGTTCAGACTTTCAACAAGGACTTGAGCTAAAAAGCTGAAACACGAGATCCTTCAAACTTGACTAACTTTTTGGGGTTTTTTTACTTTGAATTTTTATTTTTGTTTTTTTAATTATTCCTGGCGTGTAGCTCAAGAACTCTGACTTCCAAAGGCAAATTGAATGCACCACCGAGAAAATCGTTTAGTGATAAATCCACACACAAAAATGAGAAAATTAAAGAAAAAACTTCTGATATTGCTGTTTTCTTTTGCTCTACTTGCTGCTGTGACCCTTAAAACAAATATTATTTGGCTTCTGCTTAGTTTCCTTCTGGTTAAATTGGGTCTTCCTGTGGATGTTCTTGCTCACAATGAGCAAGAACATTGATTGCTGCAGAGTCAATGATTAAGCTGGACTTGCTCAGATAACTTTGTAGCTATTGGCATTTTATTAACTAAATTTTTGATGTATTATAATAACAATTAGATAGAATTGTATCTCATTGAAGTAGAAATAACTGGACAGATTTTCTTGAATATTTCTATAAATCTGGGCATCAGTTGGACAAGTTTATAAGGTGCCTTGAGAGAATATTTGTTCTGAATTGATACCATTTAAACAAACTAAATTTAATCTGTATTTCAATTTGTTAAGTCATATTGACAATAACACAGAGGAGGACCAAAGTGCAAACTGGAGACTCAAATGGACATCAAGAATTTCTTAGCAAAATAGAGAACTTATAAAAATTGAGCCAGGCAGGAAGCAGCAGGGCAAAAGCAACAGAGGATTCAAGAAACAGGATGGCAGATGAGTGAAGTGAAAGGATCCAGTAGAGAACAATGTTCACTGGGGAGCTTAAATAAACTGCGGAGGGAGTGGAAATGTTAAAGGAAGAGGAGTAAATGACAAGTTATTGGTTGCAGCTGGGGAACGCAGCTTGGATGGGCAGGTGAGGCAAAATTTATTAGCTGGGATCGGGACCAAGAAGGGTGAGATTAAGGGAAAAAAAATAGTGAAAGCCAAGAGAAATAAGAAGGGGAATAAGAAAACACATGGACCTAATAAAATAGTAAACAGAAACATTAATGTAAATAAATAAAAACAACATACTAAACACAAGACAAACTGAACTGACACAAGGGATAAACTAAGATGGTGAGAAGTAAGAAAACAATCAATAAAAAAATAAAATAAAATAACACAAACATTGATGAAAGTGAAAGTATACCAACCGTCTATGGATTATGAAAGTTACAGGCTCTTATTATTATTATTATTATTATTATTATTGCCTTACTTATTGACAATTCGGCTTATGAATTCAAATAAAGAAATCCACTTTGAAAACACCAGGCTGCTCATCAGTAGTTGTACTGTATCAGGTCAGTGTTTGTGTCCTTGGCTGTATCTTTGGTTCAGAGTCAAACGGGTCAGCACCGCTGTAACTGACACCGGCTGTAATGTTCACCTTCTGCACCACCATCTGTTGAAACCTCCTCCCGCCTTCCTTCCTGCCCTGTGGCCTCCATCGGCCCGATCCGTCTCCTGAGGTGCCGTCTTCATTATTTACACTCGGGGCCCACGGCAGAGGCCGACTTAACTAATTTCGTCTCCGCCGACTGCCTCTTGTGAGACGCACATGAAGTGGTCGTCACATATTAACCAAACAAATTTGATATATAAACACGGGCACACATGGTAATTACTTGAGCCTTGTTTGTCTCCATCTCTTGTTTGCTCGCTGCTATCTTTACGCTCTGACACAACTTGCACAAACCTGAGAGGTTGTGAAGAAATTTGTGCCAGGAAGCATTTCACAACTCTGACAGTAGAGATAGTCCCTTCATGGTGTATATTTTATGCTAGGCATCTTCATTGAAGAATCAAAGTGAAAGGTAAGGTGGTGTATTTGTTAGACTTGGGGGGCATAAAAAAATAAAACAACAAAGTCCCTTGTTGTCTTTTTAAACATACACATATTGTTTCCCCAAATAATTCTATGTAGACGTATCAAAAAGGTTCTGGCAGTCCAAGTCTCAAATGAATGTTGCTCTATTTTATGTGTTAACATCAATGCAACTTTGATACTTCTGCTCACTTGAGCTTTAGCTCAGTACATTGCAGCCAGTTAAAATCAGCTGTTGAAATGCGTCATTATTTGTCTGCGTTTGGTTTATTTACTAAGTACATTTACAGTGCCTTAAAGGCTTTGGCAAGTTACAAAAACAAACTTCAATATTTTTTTTTATTCATATTTTGTGTGACTAAAACATAGCAGTACATATCTGTAAGAGGATGCAAAAGGATACATTGCTTTTGAAAGTTCAAACGGAAAAAGCAAAACCATTTAGCAGCTCTTCACTCGACTAAAGGTCTAGTGGAAATATTTCCACTAAGGCGTCACTTCAGTATAACATGGTGGTGGCAGTGTGATGCTGTGGATATGTCCCCCCCCCCCACACACACAGCACAGCAGGAAAGTTGGACACAATTAGGAAGATGGATCAAATTAAATTTTGGAGAACCCTGATTAAAAACCTGCTGGAGACAGAAAAAGACTGGAGAGTGGTTTCCAATACAGCAGGATGAGCCCAAAGAAACAGTCAAATCTGAGGTGGAACTGATTAAATCAAAGCACATTAAAATATTAAAGTGGACTAGCCCAAAAACTATGACCGCAATCTTTGCCAATGATTGAAAACCGATGTACACCGAGACTCTCCTTTCAACCTGACTGATCTTAAGGTATTTTGAATGAGCAAAACTGGGAGACACACAAAATCATACTTGCAGCTACAACATGAGCAAAAACTAAGTCAGTAAAGATTTACTCAGTACAAATATGTCAGAAGCAACAGTTTTTAATTGTTAATCATTTGTCAAGTGAAATCCCAATAAATTACATTATTTTTGTGAAAAGGGTTCAATGTGGATTGGCACTTTTACCAGGTTGTGTTGTCGGTAGGCAGGCTTTCCTGTGTAAAGTTTTCAGCTTTTCTTTGTTACATACGTTGGGTTTTTCACAAGACATTCCAGCTTCATATGTAAGTGTACAAAACACACTTAATAAACGTGCCGGCGATTACTGACATAATATGTGCGCTGGGTCTTGCAGGCTTTTCGTCTGGGTTTCTCCCACTGCAGCCACTTTCATGGACTAATGACTTGTGACACACAATCAGCTTCTGTTAAGAAAATGAATAATGTTTATTTGCGACTTAACATCAGCATCCTTAAAGGCTTGTCATCTACGAATGACGGGTTGTTTTCTTTCCGTCTTCGACATGGCATGTTGCTAATGGTTTCATCACCTTGGATACAAAGTAATTTCGAGCACTGATGAGTGAACCAATTTATTTTCAGCAACACTTTAATGTGAAGTAGGAACACTGCAGATTCAACACAAGTCCTTAATTGTAATCTCAGTGTTTCTGTCTTGTCCGAATCGTGAAACGGCTAACTGCAGTTCATCATGACCTGCTGCAGTTCTCAGCTTAAAACTCATTCATGGGGAAAGAAAAACAAAATCTAAAGTTTGTGAAATCACATTTCTTTTTATTGTTTTCGTCTTCAGGTGCAGCAAGATGTTGGGTGCGCAGCCTGTTTACGGAGTAAGGCTCTTGCTGGCCCTGATAATGCTCCATACAGCCGACTCAGGTGAGTACTTATTACCAAGGCTAGACTTTATAGAAAATAGCTTGCATGCTTTTAGATTTTCATTTTGTAGCTTGGCAACAACTGAGCTGCTGAGGTCTGAATGAATCGACTCCATCTCAAAGTTAACTATGTTCAAGGTAAAGAGCTGAACAGTTCAACAAGACAAGGCTGTTTTGTCGTGATTTTCTGTGTGACTTATAGGCTGTTCTTCTAAGTCATTATTAAAAAAAATCCACATTGCTTTAACATTTCCCATAGTAACCAAAGGACTAAATGTTTTAACCCTTCTCTTTCAATATCTAAGTCACCTTCCTGCAAGATATCCTCATCAACTTGTAAGAGATTTAGGGATGTAGTTATGCTTCACAGAGCTCAGCCAGCTGCCGTTGTGTGTAAATAATGAGTGCTAGGAAATCAGCCGACTGCCCAAAGTCTTTTCAAATCCTGTGAAAGTGACATCATCAAAAATGAATCACAGCTTGCTTTAAACCTTGCTGTTGTTTTCCTTTCGAACATAATTATTCATCGTGCAAAGCTGATGAAGAAAATTGCTTTTCAACTCCTTGATTTCATTTCTCTGCCAAATTGCCAAATTGCTTGTTTGTTTATTAGCATAATTAAAGGTCACTCTGGCAAAAACAAAACAGCCAAGCATAAAAAACCCCTCCGAGCATTCAAGGATGATTTACCATAAAGCTAATATTAAAGCTTGAAACACAAATACCTTTGGTGGGATCAAACCCAACCAGCCAGAGGTTTTTAGATCCCTCAGTCACACTGACATCTCCATTTTCTGATTTGCTCCTGTCTAAACTCTTGGCAGACCATCTCTCCGACTTTTGTTTGTAATTACCCCAGCAACTCTAAGAAGAGAATAAAAGCAAGAGATGTAAAGATGCAGAATCATTCTGGTCCACAGAGCTCTTAGATTTATCTTTTCAGCCATGTCTTAGAAATTGAAATGTATTTTAGGCCTGATCAAACCTCAGAGATATTATACCCAATTCCAGTGAGGAAAGCTGATTAAACTTTCTTTTGATTTGTCTAAAAAAAAAAAAAAGCTGAAATTTAGGATGTTAATCATGTAATTATACATCATCAAGTCATTCAAACTTTGGCGAGAGTCTTGACATTTTGCGTGTGTTTGCCTGTCTGTCTGAGTGACCTTTTGAAACCGCTGATGCTGATGAGCGAAGGACAGTGTGGCAGAGGAACAAGGGCCGGGGCATTCGCAGAAAATTGTGTGAAACTGTGAGTCATTAGTCAATCTGCGCCGAGGATCTGGTTCCCCCAGCTGCCTCCCGGTCTGTCTGTTTGGCAGTTTTATCTGTCTATTCCAGGGGGCTCTGCGGGAAATGGAGGGTGGGGAAAGTATTCACATCCGTCAGTCATTCTCCGGCCTTTCTGCACCCTGCCTGCGCACTGCTGATGGATATCTGTGTGTATCTATATGTGTCTCTGCGTATGTAGGGCAGACTTCACGCCCCCGCGCTGCTCCCCGGTGTCCTCGCCGACCGTCTGCTTCGCTCCGCGTCGTAGTTTTTCTGCTCGGTGTTGACTCAGGCCTCAAGTTTGCAGGAACGGAGACAGTGAAAAATCCAATCAGCTTTCCTGCGTGTCTATATGAAGGCGTAAAAACGCCCAATAAACTCTAACTGTTACCCTGATTTACTTTGTATTACCTCTTCCCTTCATGGATTTTGCACTTTTATTTTTCCAGCTAAGCAAAAAGTCACAGGAGGTAAGAGGACCACTGGGAGGGCTGGCATTAAAGTTCACCCCCTGACACCTCGCTTGACAGCACAGAATTGGAAAAAGGGTGGGATGTGAACACAAAGAGCAGATTAAGGCGTGGGGGTGGTAAGCTTTTTGCATGCGTGTGTCTGGGTGTGCGTGTGTATATATATATGCGTTGGTAATACTGTGCTTGCACTTTTAGCGCCACTACTCCATTGCCTGTGTATCATGCTTATAAATTTTAAAATGTTGGGAGCTTGTCACACAAGATAAATGTACTATAACGCCACAGAAGGTGCAAAATTAGTCACGGCAGAAGCTTAAGGGGAGTTTCTGTAAATCCCAGAGTGGCCTGGTCTGAAACGACTCAGATGGGAAGAGAGCTGCTGTGAGAGGGTTAATTTCTGTCTCTGAGAGAGAGAGAGGTGGAGGATTTGAGGGATCTGAGGAATATACCTTGGAGATATTCAGAGATCTCCTCCTATGTGGCTGCGAAGGTTTGTCAGATCAGAAAGAGGAGCCAAAATCTTGGTATCGCAAATGTTAATGTTTTTATATGGCATTTTATATGACGGATCATATTAAAATAACATAAGTTTACAGTAGAAGTAGAAAAGTATGTGCATTCTGCGCCCCATCATTTTGATGACCCGAAATAAAATCCATTTATGGTTTATAAATCCATTTCCTCCAGACATCACCTAATTCTCCAAATCTTCTCTGAAGATCTTAGAGATTTGTAAGGAAACAATAGCTATCATCAGGAAAAAAACAACACATTCTTTCTAAAAGTTGCATACTGCAACTTTAAACATTTAAAGAGCTCTCCTGATACAAATATGAAGACGTAGCAGCCAGTGCAGTCTTTCTTTAACTGTGAAATTTGCAGTAAAGACCGAATGAAAGTCAGTACAGACATAAACAAGCTTTTATAGATTTGCATTGAACTTACATGTTCAAGCCAGCCTTCAAGTTTTCTTAGAAAAGTTTAGTGAAGACGTACATCTACTTTCCTCTGGTTATAAATAGTTTATCTTATGCTTTTTTTTTTTTTTTTTTTTTTCCGTATTGTCTGTGAGTATTTTGCTATACAGTTCAAGTTGTATGATGCTTTGAGTAGCTTAAAATTGTTGTTGTGAAGTTGAAATGTTTTTAAGTTGTAGAGAAATAAAGGCATGTTTTAAAATTATTCAGGGCAAAAAAACAAAAACAAACTCTGAAGAAGCCTCCAGGAGGCAATTAGTGGAAACCTCAGATCCGACCCTCTACAGTCTCTCCAGACATAAGCTTATGAACTGCACTTTTCAAATCTGTTTGCTTATTTATTTATTTATTTATTTTTTGCTTATGTCCAGTGAAGTTGAACTTATATTTACTTTATAAATGTGTATTTCTACCCTTTTTGTACATGTAGCAATAAATCATATTACCACAAAGGTGCTCTGTGAGTGCAACATGTCAAACCCAATTCTGAATTGGAGATATTTTTATCAACCACAACCTGATGGAAATACATCAAGATTTTCCCAAGCAGTACAGGTTTGGAAAGATGAAAGTAGATCATTCACGGGGGTAGAAATGACTCAAAGAAAAACTAGAAATGATGCAATGCAGCATAAGATGTTGGTGAAAAATGCAACAGCAAACGCAGACGTGGAACAGGTGAGAGGACAACTCCTTGAATCTCAAGTAAAGGAAATGAGACGCTACAGAAACTATTTAGGGAGCGGATCTCGTGTGAGAGGATGCCGGCTTTCAGACTTTATTTCTGAACGGGCTTGTTTTCTGCCAGAGAACATGAGCACACAACCAAACACACAGAACTGTTGCTTGAAACAGCCGGTGGTTGGAATCCCTCTTAATGTTTCTATACGCACCTTTAAGATTATGTTCACTTTGTGTTGACGTATGCAGGGCCGGCGATCAGACAAAGCAGAACCGTGTGGTTATTCAATTCATCTGATTTCTCAGAACCTTGTACTTTATACTTGACGTGTGTTTCTTGTGTGTGTTTCCACAGTCTGGTACAAAGCTGTGATTTTTGTGTATATCTGATGATGAACTCGGAGTCACTCCTAGACAAAGAGTTTCACTTCAGCCATTCCTCTTTGAGTACGGAAAGAGGGTTGGCTTCTGATTTGAGAATGAAAAGATTTTCAACATTAAAACTGTAATCGACGACTTATTCTGTGGCAACAATTACACTTATGTAAAGTGTTGTGCCAGTTCTCTCAGGCTAAACTACAGTTTTTAACACCTGTCATTCTAAAAGATTGACAGAGAAGAGGTCCATCAGGACACTGTTTCCAATTGCCACTCTTAAAAGCACGTCTCGGTTGATATTCTTAGATAAAAATCCAGATTTTGTTTAATCCTTGGTGACAAAATCAAAGATAACATCTGCACTGGTATTTTAGTTACCTGTACGATAACCAGAGAGAAAAGCTTAATCTCACAGACTGCATAAATTTGGAAAAACGACCCCGAAAAACTAAATGTTTAGGGCACAAGCCTTTAAAGAGATGCGAGAAGCATACGTTTTCTGTCAATTTCCTACAAAGGGTGCTTAGGTGTTGTTTTATTTGTGCCTCGAAACATAAACAGTCAAAATTAAGTTGGAAGATTTACTCTCTTTGTCCCCACAGACAGCTGAAAGTAGTCACTGGCAATTTAAAGCTTTTTGTAGTTTTTTTTGCCAAGGAACACGAGTTGTGGAAGAAGTTAAAAAGCGATAAAATAACTAGAGTGGTGAAGAAACTCGATTCAAAATGTTAACCAACTTGCACTACATTATACTCCACCCAATGCAAGTGAGTTATAAACTTTGCATTTTCATCTCATTTATCAAAGTAAACAATGAATAATGAGAGAAGCAAAGGCAGGTGAAGAATAGAGAATTTAATTGCAGACAAAAAAAAGAATAGTCATATATTTAATAGTCAAAACAAGATACCCAAGACGGCAAAGAAAACATGGAAAATAAAGTGAGGCAATTTTAAACCAAAGCAAACCACTTGAGATCGGCGAACAAAAGATGCATCAAAATATGACGTGCACAGGAGAAATTCACAGCTTCATACGCGCAAGGGGATAATTGCACATGAGCGAAACATTGAGCGTGCTAATTACAAATCGTGACGAGGTAAAATGGAGAAACAGGATTCAAAATAAACTAACAGAGACAAGAAAAAAAACGGCCTTGCAGTTTAGGGGAATGCACTGGGAAACAAACTCACCTGGCTGGTGTCTGGAAAAGTGGGTTC